GCTCTCTTCCCACTTCCTCCCCATAGTTACCTCTTCCCTGTGTCCTTCCCTCCCATGCACTCCTGACCCCTGAGCTGTTTCCCTGTGCATACACAGTCCTTCTGTTCTCCCATGATTGATCTCTCCAAGCAGTGTATCTACCTAATGTAAATGTTCAGCTGGTTTGCCTGTCTTTGGTTTGGCTGGAAGCCACATATTTCCTTCCTCTTAACTCATTTTCTTCCCTTAACCTCCTGGTTGATCCTGCTTTATCTCCTTTCCAGGCTTTTTCTTTCCTCTAAATGCATGTATCAAGTTGTCTATTGACATTACCACTTACATAGCTCTCACATGCCTCAAATTAGCATGTCCAAAAGTAAATTCATGATCTTCCCCCAGAAATTTGGCCTATTCTTTGATATTCTCTGTCATTGTGGGTGGCCTCACTATTCAAGCCAGAAACCTAGGACTTATTGTTAATATCTTTTTCTTTCTTACTCCCTGTTTCCAGTCCATTATTAAGTTTTATCAATTTAATTTTGTAAATATCTCTTGAATCCTTCCACATCTCCTCATAGCCATAGCTACCACTAGTACAAGTTATAGTTTTCTCTAGACCACTGAAAATGCCTCCTATATGTCATGCAGTGTTGCTTCCATCAAGTGATTCTGATTCATAGCGACCCCTATTGGGCTTCTGGGGAGCTCTGGTAGCATAGTGCCTAAGGCGTTTGACTACTAATCAGAAGGCTGGCTGTACAAACCCACTAGCCACTCCCCGGAAGGAAGATTGGACAATCTATTTCTGTAGAGATACTGCCTCGGAAACACAAAGAGGGGTTTGTAGTAAGTCGAACCTGACTCAACGGCAGTGAGAGTTTATTGGGTTTCTGAGGCTATAAATCTTTGTGGCAGTAGATGTCCCCATTTTCCTTCTGCAGAGCAGCTGGTGGCTTTGAACCACTGACCTTCTGGTTAGCAGCCGTATGTTTTGTCCACTACGCCACCAGAGCTCCTTTTGTGTGTATATGTGTGTGTGGTCATACAATGTTTCTTCTTTCCCTTACCTAGTCTTCTCTCTCATACTATATTGTTACCTTACTAATAACCCTTCAGTGACTTGCATTTGTCTTAGGTTAAAGTCTGCACTCTTTGTGTGTGTGTGTGTGTGTGTGTGTGATTTGGGTGAAAATTTACAAAGCAAATTCATTTCCATACAGCAGTTCACATACACTTTGTCTCATGAAATTGACTACAATTTACCACAATGCAACAGCTCCCTTCCCACTTCCTCCTGATAGTTACCTCTTTCCTGTATCCATTCCTCCATGCACTCTTGCCCTCTGAGCTGTCTCCCTGTGCATGAACAGCCCTTCTTTCTCCCATGATTGTTTTTGTTTTCTCCAAGGAGTGCATCTACCTCAGGTAAGTGTTCAACTCATGCCTGTCTTTTGTTTGGCTGAAAGCCACAGGTGTGAGTTCAATTCTAGACCTGAAGGGCAGCTAGGGGCCATAGTCTCAGGGGTTCCGCCAGGCTCTATCAGACTAGCAAACCTGCTTTTCTTTTTCTTTTTTTTTCTTATGATTTTGAGTTTTGTTCCACATTGTTCTCTCTCTCTATCCAGGATCTCCTACATAGATGCCCCTCTGAGTGGTTGATAGTGGTAGCCAGGTACCAACTAGTTCTTCTGGTCTCATAGTCGTATAGGCTGTGGATCGCATGGTATACCAGACCTTTGGACTTTGAGGAGGCTTTGGTTTTCTTCATTATTCTTTGCTCTGGACGAGAAGAGACCCATCGTTGCATCTAGATGGTTGCTTGCAAACTTTTAAGATCCCTGTTGCTACTCGCCAAAGTAGGAGGTGGAACAATGTTTTGTGTAGTATGTTATGCCAATTGAGCTTGATGTTCCGTTAAAGTCCGCACTGTTTAACAAGGCCTTCAAACCTCTGTATGATTTGGTCTCTTCCCACATCTCTAACCTTACTTACATCCAATTACCATTATGTTCTTTAGCCATATTGGCCATCATTATGTTTCTGGACAGTACCAGTCTTGTTCCAACTTTAAGATTTTCACACACAGTGTTCACTTTGCCTAAAACAATTGCACATACAGCCTCAAATGTCAATATCAGGAAAGTCTGTCTTGAACAGCTACGCTTCTCCACACAGTATAAGTTTCCCCTTTTATGTGCTCTTATTTATACTTTTTTTTAAATGCTGTTCATGTTTATATTTCTTTCTGACATAGACTGTTCCTGTGAAAGAGTTTATTTTGTGTACCGCTATACCTACAGTGCTTGTCTTTTTCTAGGCTATCAATATTTGTTGAATGAATGAATATATATAATTTTCTTACTCTTTTGAAAATGTTTTTTAATTTATGCTTTAATTTTTTATGTAATCTGTATTATAGAGTAATACAAGTTTTCTGCCTTAGCTTTATATAAGTATCTACATGTAGAAATAAAGTATCCCAAGATGTTGTTACAGATGCAAGAAAGACCAACCATTAAAGCATACCATTATAGTATCCAAAACGAAACCCTGTGCTGTTGAGTCAGTTCCGACTCATAACAATCCTATAGGACAGGGTAGCATTGCCCCATAGGGTTTTCAAGGCTGTAATCTTTAATGTAGACTACCTCATCTTTCTTCTGCAGAATGGCTGAAGGGTTTGAACCTCCAGCTTTGTATTAAACAATCAAAATGCTTTAACCATTGTGTCACCAGAGCTTCTCAGTATGAATACAGTTTTACTGTTTTCTGATGAACTCTATTACCAGTTTGATAGAGCTTAGCAGTACTCACTTAATGAGTGGAACATATCAGAAACCTTTTATTTGGCACTTTGCTACTGAACAACAATAGCTAATAATAGTCTACCATGTAGACCTGACTCAAAGCCCTCATAGATTCTGTCTACCTAGACTTTTTTAGATATTATGTTTCCTTTACTTGTTACTTTTTTAAAAAATAATGAAATGCATAGAAAGGAATTTTCATTTTAATGTTCAGTCAAAATTTTCTGTTTCTTCTTAACTCACCATTCTTTTCCTTTTCCCAGTGCCTGCTAAAGTGCTAATATATTTGACTAATACTCACTTAGGAGTTCTGGTGGCATAGTGCCTAAGGCATTTGACTGCTAATCAGAAGGCCAGCGGTTCAGACCCACCAGCCACTCCTTGGAAGGAAAGTTGGGCAATCTACTTCCATAGCGATACCACCTCATAAACTCAAAGAGGGGTCACTATGAGTCTGATCTGACTCGTGTTTCTTAATTCTACAGTTGCTTTTTCTTTAGAAAGTTTTAGTGCATATTTCAGTTTAGTACTCATTGAAAGTGTTTGTCATCTGTGGGTTTCTATTAGTTAAAACTCTTCAAGTTTTCTAGGATTTTATTATCTAGTTCATAGCTATGTGACCTTTTGAACTCTTCTTCCCTCTTACTGTTTTCTTTTTGTTTATTGATTTACTGAAAAACTACCACTTCAAAGAATGAATTGGGAAGAAGTAAAACATAGACTAGTCAGTTATTCTACTTAGTTACTTTTTAAATTTCTTTTCTATTTGCTAGAAAAGGTAATGAGATTAATGAAATGAGATTAGGGAATTAAGGGTTTTACTTTATTCAGTTTAGTTGATTTGCATTGGAACTTCTTAAAAGAATTTTAATATAAGGTACAAGTAAAATATGATATATTTTAAAAGCAAACAGAGTTAAAAAGTAGAAAAACAAATATACCAGCTCTAAAGGTGGTGCTATTGGTATAGTGGCTGTTAAGCTTACTCTGAGCTCTTTGTTAGAAAAGATGGAGCTGGAATAAGGAATTCACTTACTCATTCTAACCTAGTAATTACATTATTTGTTTTCAGTTTCCTCTCTTTCTGTGTATGTGTTTGTGTGTAGTTCTGTGATTTTAAATAAATGGATATGTATTATTTTAAATATGTATGTGTATATATCCATTTCTTTAAATGTACCCCAAAGTCTTCTGTTAATTGCCATTTGTTAATTGTCATTATCGTTGGAAGTACTGTAAGGTATTTAACCATTCCAAAATTTTGAAATCCAGAGTATTTTTCTTCCTTCATGTTTTTGTTTAAAAAAACAAAAACAAAACTTCAGGTTTTTAATATGTGTATGCATATTTTTTAGGGATAAAAGATTTGAAAGCTGAAGATGGCATCTCATTGAAGGTGATTCCTATTTTACCTGCCCTTAACTGTGCCCTGCTAGAAGCAAAGAAATCATTAACTGAAGAAGGAATCCATCCAAGCACATTAGTAAAGCATAGTTTCCAAGAGTTCTACAAGGTGGACAAAAGTCCATCATTGACTGCTGCGTCTCAGGATGGAATTAAAGGGACTGCATTCTTTGGCACATTGTCCAATGATTTTGATTTGGTTCCTCCAGCTGAAAAGTGTCCTTTACAATCTTTCACTCACTTGAAGTCTTATTTTTCAGATCCTAGTGGTTATATTTTGGAAGTATGTACTGCTTTAGATTTATTAGCAGAGCATCCTCAGTCTCCTTGTTTTTCAGATGGTATTTGCGATGCTGGATTTTCTTTAGTTATGACTCCAGATCCTGAATTTCTTGACTCAGAAGCAGAATTGATAAAAGAAATTGAAACGGAAAAGAATTCTCAGGAAATTTTTAAAGCAAAGAGAGGAAGTATGGTCCCATTAAGTCCAGCAGCAAATCTGAGAGTTCAGCCAAAGAGAAAGGCAAGCATGCCACTTAAAATACAAAGTAAAAGAATGAACTTGTGCTGTCCTTTTCCCCAAAGAACTACTCCTGAAACAAACAATAGTTCGGATTCTGCAACAACTCTTAAGTTAGCTAAAGGGCAGTTTCCTCAGAAAAGAAAAAGAGGTAAGCACAATTTATGTGGGTTATTAAATTAGCAGATAAAACTAACTGTTGTATTATAACACTCTGTTTAGCTCATTGCTACTCAGAGGTGTGGATTGTGACTTGGCTGTAACAGAAGCTTGTTAGAAATGCTAGCATTTCTCTCCAGGTGATTTGAGAAGCACTGATCTAGGTAATGGATAAGAACTAAGAAGTTGGAAAACCTGTGATTCCTCAGAAGCCCATCTACCAAAATCTTATATTTTACTTATAAAACTGCTCAAATCTTCTTCACTAAATTATTATTTAGGTACTCTTTTAAGAAAGATGTTTATCTAGTTGCTAAGCCATCCTCTGACAAATGAGAGTGGGAGAAGAGGGCAAAAACTGGTAACTGATAGGACAAACATCTATAAAGACAACCCTACACACACACACACACACACAAAACCAGGGACCCACAAAACTAAAGCAGTGTGGAACAGTGTTTTTAGAATAGTCACCTGGATCCTACCACAGATCTGTTGGAAACAATATTGAGTGGCCTAGAAATATATGTATTATAAAAGTTCCACAGGTGGTTATTGTTGCTTCCTGGAAACTGAGTGAAAATTAGACTGTCCAGAACCATGATTGTGTAACGAACACACAGCAAAAGAAACAACATGATTTTGGCTTAGATTTGTCTGAAATTAAATTATGTTTAATGTATTTTATTTAAAAAGGTAGTGAACTATATGCTATATTTGAGAGAAGGGGTCAGCAAACTATAGCTGAAGTGCTGCTTATTTGTTTACATACTGTCTGTGGCTACTTTCAGTCTCCATTGACAGAACTGAGTGGTGGTAACGAGGTCCTATGGCCTTCAGAACTGAAAATATGTTTCAAATTAAAATGTTGGTGCCCCAAGAAGAAAATCTAGAATGTGCAGATTCTCGATATTCTAGATAATTAGGGTGTTATTCTGTGGTTTAACAAACAGTTATTCCTGACCTGTTTTGGTTTGAGAACTGTGTGTGTATGTGTGTGTGTGTGTGTGTGTGTTAAGGAGCGTGAAGGAAAGTATGACAGTATAAATCAGTGAATCAAACTATACAGTTATTTTACATATGATCCAGTCCAATCATACAGAGTTTTGTTCCATGTAATCCAGTTTTCTTTAAGGTATTAAATACATTATCTGTAATTCAGCATATATATTCTCATTATTTCTCAAACTTTTAAAATTGCAGTCCCTTGTAAGAAATGGATTGTATATGGTAGCCCAGTGCACACACATTCATGTAGGACTAAAACAAAAATTTCCAAAAACATTTGACCTATATGTAATACAATTTCATATTTTCTGTTTCACTGAAAATTAAAAATCTGGTGGTGACTTACATTAATTTTACAACCTCCCAGTGGATTATTATGTACAATTTGAGAAACATGGCATTGAGTGATGCACAAAATAATCTTGGAGGATCAACTTGTTCCATTTTTATTCTTCCAAGACCTGGTTTTGTAAAAGAACTTTCCTTCCAGCTTGTGCAAATATTATAAACTTTCCCCCTAGGTGTTGGTTGTCTCCTCTTGTTTTCTTCCTCTTTTAATTTGGTCTTAACTGTTTTCCTGATTAATTTATATTTTGTCTCTCCTTATGCTGAAACTTTCAGAAAATATAACTCAAGTAGAATGAGAAATCTTATTCTTAAAAAGAGATAAAAAACAATATACTTCTTAAAAAACAATAAAATGTGTTTTGTTACAGCTTTACTACCTGTAATAGTTTAACAGGGAGGAAAATAATTAGAATCAGGTAAATATGTAACATTAAAAGATTGTGAAAGTTTTTAGAGGAGGCATTCCTTTCTTTAATCCCCAAAGAACTCTCCAGTTTTTTCCAATGAACTAGATCTTTTTCTGCATTTCGTGAACAGTCATCACAGTTTTTATACTGTTTAATATCATGATATTAAAAACAATGTTTTCTGTGTAATGTAATTTTAAAATACTTGCCAACAGTCACATGTGTGATATATGTATAAAATGTTTTATAAATTGAAAAAAGCCAAACTCACTGCGGTGGGTTCAGATCTGACTCATAGCAAGCCCTCCTTGGGTTTCTGAGGCAGTATCACTACAGAAGTAGATTGCCCAATCTTCCTTTCGAGGAGTGGCTGGTGGATTTGAACCACCAGCCTTCTGGTTAGCAGTCAAATGCCTTAGGCACTACACCACCAGAGAGGCTGATTTTTTTCTGTGGGAATAACTCAGTGGGGGAAAAAGTTGTCAAAGGAGAATTTTATTAACATCTTCTTAACTCTAAAAGATTAAAACACTTTCTGTTATGTAATAGAAGCAGGTAGTTGGTATTGTTTCCCACCTACCTTTTTACCTTTTGCCATATCCATACTTCCATGTGAATAGAAAAGCAGATTTTGTGAGAGAGATGAGCAATTACAGTAGATTTGTAGGAAGTGTGAAGGTTTTCCTCAGTGTACCTGCCACTGCCTACTATTAAAGATTATTTTTCACATAAACACGATTCATAAAGATTATTTTTCAGATGATATTAAGACTTAGGGTAATCTACTTCCCTAGGTATTCTCCTTGGAAACCCAAGGATGGGTTGCTCCAAGTCGGAATCAACTCGAGCAGTGAGTTTGGTTTTTTTATTAAGACTTAGATGTTTAAGAGTAGTAAAGTAAAATAGATAATAATGTTCATCATGTACAGTCTCTTCTCTACATTATGATTATAGTTACTATCATCACCTTATATGAGCTGTGTTGCTTTTGTTTAAACTGAATTACACATCTCTCAGTTCTGTAAACTGGCATATTCAATCTTAACTGCCATATCAATCAGTAAGGATTATAGAGATTTAAAGAATGAAGGTGTGCTTTATTTTTATAAAGTTATTGCTCTTACATTTCTCTTCTTCTGAATATAGTCAGAAATACTTAGAAAGTTCAAAAATTTTATGTGAGAATTTTAAACTCTTGCTTTGGTTTAAAAAAAATTTTAAATGAAATACTCAAAACTTTATGTTTTATTCCCCATTCTTAAAGTTACTCAACCCCTGAAAAAAGAAAAGGAAAAAATATGCTGATAAATATCTGAGCCCCTACCCCTAAAAAAAAAAAAATGGTGTCTTTTCTACATAAGGTGCGGAAGTGCTGACTGCACAGTTTGTACAGACAACCAAATTGGATAGGAAAAACCAAGAAGCTCCTATTTCTAAAGATGTTCCAGTGGCAACGAATGCTAAAAGGGCAAGGAAACGAGAGAAATCACCAGTCAAAACTGTTCCAAAGGCTAAGCCATCTGTGAAGAAATCTCCACAAAAACAGAGGGTAAATATAGTAAGAGGCAATCAGAATCCCAGAATCAGAAAGCAACCACAACCTGGTAAGAAATAATCTTCCTGTAAATTTAAACGCCACAATGCAGATCTAACAGATTGCAAGATAGCATATTGAGATAATACAAAAACAGTTAAGATACATCAATAATTCTTTCTATTTCTTTAATTCAGACACAGGAATAAGGAACTTAGTTTTCTATTATAAATAAACTAAGGAAGTACAAAGGTTCAAGCCTTCATCTGAAGTCTGCTTTTCACTAAAAGCCTATGGTTTAGTTTACATAAAGCCTGAACATGAATTGAATTGTCTTCAGGAGCAGAAGTATAGATGACTTCAGTCATTTATGGCTAAATGCACAAAGAAGTTGTATCGGCAGTATTTTTCTGGACCATAATCAGTTATAAAAAGTAGAAAGTTCTAAGTTTATTTGCGTAAAAGAAATTGTAAACGCAGACTGTTAAATCTGTACTGTAGAATCCTGCGTTTGGTTTTAAAAGATACCAAATTAAATTTAAAAGCAGTTTTACTTTTCTAATTTTCTTTAAGTGAATAATAAAGTTTAACTATATGAACAAACGATTGACTACTCTAATTCCATGTTTTCAAGTGCAAGGCATGTCCTTTTAACTTCAAAGTCCTGTTGTCACCTCAGACTTCACCTCTCTGAAACTGAACACACACCAGATTCTCTTCCGGGTCTAATTCCTTTCTTAACTTCACGCTGAACCTCACTAATCTCTCTTTTTCTCATTTCCTTTTGGAATTTGTGAACATTATAGAATTTAATTCTTACTGCTTTTTTTAATTATTTGATGTCTTGGTCTTACCTCTCCAATTAGTTTGTAAGCATTAGGAGAATAGAGACATAGAATGTCTTACATTCTTAGCAATGTCTACTGGAAGTTTTTGTACTGAGTTGGTGCTCAGATATTTGTTGACTGATTGATTAATGGAAAGATGTATACAATTGGGTAATTGGCTAAAAAGTGAGCCCAGAAAATAAAAAATTTTCAAAATGTGTATTTAAAAATAGGCTGATTTGTATTGTCAATGTCTGTATATATTGTGCAGCCACATTCTGAATTAAAAATTTAAGATTTCTACCTATTAAATCTTTAAATTTTTCCAACATTTCTTAACCTCCTATGCTAATCTTATTTCTTATACTTGAAATATCAGCATTTAGGAAGGCATATGTTGACCTGAGTTTAAAAATTACAGATTTAAAATATTTTGAGTTTTAATTTGATTATTACAATGAAACTAATAACTTTCCTTTTTAAAGTGTTTAATACAGTGTTTTATTCATTGAACTATATATAATTTGTTTGGCATCATTTTATCAATATCTTTTAAATAGAAATAGATTATGGGTGTGTTATATCTTTAATTGGTTGAGAATTAGCAGGTCAGTAATTAAATGATTTACCTGAAATTGTACATGTTTATTAAACTGAACCAAGATAGTCATTTCTTTTGACTTCAGTACAGTGTTCTTTACATTACGCCATCCTTGTAACTGATATTCTGTGTAAGAGAAATATAAAAATATGAAAGCTATACTACTAACAGAAGTAGAATGAAATTAGTGTCAATAAATGCATCGAGTCATAAAATGAATTTTATGTTTCCAATACACCAATAATACAAAGAAGAGAGTTCTTCACTTTGGGTCACTTTCTCCTACCCTAGCCTCCTTGGGTTTGCTATTTTCAATAAAATCTAGGCAATGGTTGATTAATTTTACCCTCCTCCACACACTTTCTCATTCTATTTGTTAATCTTATAGGCCAGAATTTCCTTTTTATCTTTACATGCATTAGTGATTGGCCTATGTAGACAGGTGGTTAAATTCATTTCAGACCTGTTACTATCAATTATAAAGAGTAGCATATTTGGCTTTCTTGTTCATCCGTCTACCTGCAACAGGGAATCATTGCCAAGTACAGGTGTGAACTTTATTATCTTTCATAATAACAGCTTTTAAGGATGCTTTATTAATGTCTGAGAATGCCTGACTAAACCAGTTGAGTCTGTAATCATTTTTTTTAGTTAAATGCAATAGGATAGCTTTAATGATCTTCAGAAGGGAAAATTATCAGTAGACATGATTTTTATGAATAAAGTAGAGGAGAAATGTTTTCATTGCTGAAAATGAAGTTGTAAAGGTGATGAAATGGTGATGCTAAATACTCAGGATTTGTCTGATTTCTTATTCTTACCATTACATTTTATGATTTTGACATGGTTAAAAATTATCTCTGATTTGAATTTTGGTGGTTTCTATAATAAATCATTTGTTAAGGAAAATGATTTCTAAGAAAATATGTTATATTTTCATTATTATCATACCATATAGCATAGTATAATAAATATTTTTAACTTATAAATTCCTAGATTCTAGAAATTTGCTGCATTATAAGCTCCCTGAAGGCAGGATTCTGGTTTGTTACTGTTTTTTTTTTTTTTTCCTCTTTGTATATTTAGGAGCTCTGGTAGTATAGTGCCTAAGGCACTTGACTGCTAACTACGAGGCTGGCGGTTCAAACCCACCAGCCACTCCTTGGAAGGAAGGTTGGGCAATCTCTTTCATAGTGATACTGCCTCAGAAACCCAAGGAGGGGTCTCTATGAGTCAGGTCCGACTTGATGGCACATAACAACAACAAACATATTTCTTTAGCTTTGCAATGTGTCTTACATTCGTGCAAGTTCAATGCATGTGTTGTGAAAGGCAATTTCTTTTTAAATTAATGTGCACATGCCTTAAGACTTATTCCTCCAGGCAATAAAGTATAATAAATTGGAGAGCTGGGAGAGACTTCGGTCCAGTAGTAAAAATTTTAATATATAGTGTACATAATAAACGAGATTTTTCTTGAATATGTTTAACCATTAATTTTCACTACAGCATAATAATATGGCAAAAAATTAATTGTATGAAAAATATTAAATCATCTTTTCCCCCCCCTCTATATTGAAGCCAAAGGAGAAACTTCCTTACAGCTCCAATCAGAAATTTTATCAGATATTCAAGAAGATACTATTAACATAAATGCAGCTCAACCAGAAAATACCACAGTGACTCAGAAAGATCTTCCTGAAGACTCCATTGTCAACTATGACTCCCAGGCCCTAAATATGTTAGCTGATCTAGCTTTAAGCTCTGCTACCTCTTCCACACCATCGTCTGAGCCTAGAAATCTTCCCTGCTCTTCTGAATTGCCACAAAATGATGTATTGTTCTCTAGAGAAAATTCTTTGCGAGGTACATCTGACCATGAATATCACAGAGGAATTAAAAGTCACAAAGGTGGACTATTACCTAAGCTATCCACTGACAGGAAGACTAATACAGTGTCAGACTTAACTGTCAGCCAAGATGAAGAGAACTTGGTTCCTTGTAGCCAAGCCCCTATTAAAACCCAGTCAGCACTTTCTGAGGAAACACTAGAAACTTCAGATGCAAGCCAAAGCTCTTTCGTTCTTGTAGAGCATTCATATGCCCTACCACTTGCAGAACATTCAAAGAAATATTTACAGCAGAGAGGAATACAAGGCCCTGCCTTTGCCAAGAATGGAACAAAAGGCCCTGAAGCAGGAACGCCAGTAGGCAAAGTAATGCCATTTCGGCATCAACAGAACACCTCCCCTCTGCAAAAGGTCTTTGATCCATTGGTAAAGCGCAAGAACAGATTGATGTCTTCCAGCCTAAAAGACTTTTATTGCTCTCATACCGTGTTTAGCTGTGATGGCTCCTTTAAGGTCACTTTCAAATGTGAAGCAGAATATGTATTCAGCTTAGATAGCAGATATACTAACAACCCACTGGAGAAAACTGTAATAAGAGCTTTACATGGGTAAGTGTGAGTAAAACTTGATGAAAACCAATGTAACTTTTTTGTTGAGATAAATGTAATGAGAAAGGATACTTGGGAGGAACAGTGAGGGAGGAGGAGTATTATATTTAAGACCAAGTGTTTACTGACAATTAAAAATATGGTACTGATTTTCCCATTGTCTATCAGTGATCACGTGGAGAACTTTTTAAAGTTAACTTTTAGCCTTGTGAATAGCTTTCCACTTTGAGATGCTCTTTTGTAAGCCTTGATGGTGTTTGAATTAAAATGTTTAGATGAGACCTTAATACAAAATAGATATACAACTAATGTTCTTCAGACTGAATTCCAGAACATTTAAAGAGTTACTTCTTACTTGTTAAGCTGGTCAGATTGGTATGAGCAAGCAATTTTCTAAAGGGATGCCCTACCAGAAGTAAACCAAACTCACTGCCATCGAGTCAGATCCAACTCATAGCGACCCCTCCTTGGATTTCCAAGGTGATACCACTACGGAATTAGATTGCCCAGTCTTCCTTCTGAGGAGTGGCTGGTGGGTTTGAACCGCCAGCCTTCTGGTTAGCAGTCAAATGCCTTAGGTATCACGACACCAGAGCTCCTATAAATCTTTAAAAAGGAATCAAGGCAATAATAGCAGAGTGGTTAGAAGCACAGACTTTAGAGTTTAGAGTAACCTCAGTTTAAATCTAGGTTCTTCCCACTTTTATGACCTTGGGCTTTGAGGCTACTGTTCTCAAACTTTATTGTGTATATAACTTGTCTTGGGATTTCATTGAACTGCAGATTCTGGCTCGGTCCATTTAAGGTAGAGCCAGAGAGTTTACATATCTAACACGTTGCCACGTGATGGCAGTGGAAGATGATAGTCTATAGACAGTGCTTTATAGATTTAGTAAAGGCTACTTTATGAGGTCATTATGTCCGTTAGAATTTTGTATGGTGATTAGTTACTAATAAATTATAACCCTTACTCTTAGCAGCAGAGTTCCTGGGTGGTACAAATGGTTAAGCACTTGACTACTAGCCAAAAGCTTACTGTTAGATTCCACCCAGCAGTACCTCAGAAGATAGACCTGGCATTCTGCTCCTAAACGTTACAGCCTTGAACACCCTATGGAGTACAGTTCTGCCCTGATGCACATGGAGCAACTGTGAATCAGATCAACTCTATTGCAACCAATAACAACAACAAAAACCAAACGCACTGCCATCGAGTTGGATTCGACTCATAGTGACCCCTTGGGTTTCTGAAGCAATATCACTATGGAAGTACATTGCCCAACCTTCCTTCTGAGGAGTGGCTGGTGGGTTAGAACCTCCAGCTCTCTGGTTAGCAGTCAAATGCCTTAGGCACTACGCCACCAGAGCTCCTATAACAACAACAACTCTTAGAAAAAAAGCATTAGCTGTGCAAGATGACATTCAGCTGCCTATTAATGAAATATTACACATGTGACTAAATTGATTCTACTTATATCTGACTTCTTTCCTTGCTCATGTTCATATGCATTATGAACATATATATTCATAAGGGTCATTTGCTTAGCCTTCATCCTGTTTGACTGTACAGTCTAACTCTAGCCTCTCTGACTCATCATACTCCAGGTCTTTGCTGTCTTTTTGCCTGTCACATGCCCAGAAATGCTTTGTCTCACCCCTTCTGGTTTCAGGTTATTTTCCAGAACTGTAATCTGGAAATAATATAGAGCTCTGGTGGCATAGTGCCTAAGGCCTTTGACTGCCAACCAGAAGGCTGGCAGTTCAAAACCACCAACCATTCTCCAGACGGAAGATTGGGCAATCTACTTCTGTAATGATACAGCCTTGGAAACCCAAGGAGTGGTTGCTATGAGTCGGATCCGACTCGATGGCAGTGAGTTTGATGGTTTTTTTTTTTTGGCTGAACTGCCAGCAGAGCTGTTTGAATCTTCAGATTTTCTCAGCTATTAGAAGAGAGACAGAAAAGTGAGGAAGAAAAGAGAGCCAGCCAGGCTTAGCAAAAGCAAATGAATGAGAATTTGAATATAGTTTCTACTAGTATTCACATAACACACTGCTGTCGAGTCTGATCCGACTCAACGACCCCTCCTTCGGTTTCCAAGGCAATATCACTACAGAAGTAGATTGCCCAACCTTCCTTCCCAGGAGTGCCTGGTGGGTTTGAACCACCAGCCTTCTGGTTAACAGTCAAATGCCTTAGGCACTGTGCCACCAAAGCTCCTATTCACACAGCAGGTATATTATATTTGTGTGGTGTAGGAAAAAAAATATACTAGACTATGAGTTGGGACACCCATGTCCTTGTCATGGTTCTTCCATTTATGGGTTTTATGGTCTGGAGGAAGTGACTTAAATGCTCTGATTCTCAGTTCCCTTCTCTGTGAAATGAAAGGTTTACATTCATTTTAATGTTTTGGTTTTTTATTACTGTCAATCTAAGAGCTTTTCCTTATCTCTGAAAGAGAATACAAGTAGAAAAGTTGTAGATGGCTCTAGTACTTTAATTTTATTTGTTAAGTCAACTTTATATTTATCTCATTCATTGTTGGTGCAGTTTTAAAAACTAAAGGTTAATAAGGCACTTGGCTTACAAAAATAAGATCATGCATTAAAATAACCATTTTTTATGATTTTTGTGTTTTTTTTTTTTTTCCAATGTTAGGCCTTGGAATACTGATTTGCCTGATAATGTGGAAGAAGTGAAGCTTTTACTTCATATGTGGGTAGCTCTGTTTTACAGTAATCAGAACAAAGTTATTCAGTCATCCCGAAAAGTGGTAGAGCACAGCAACCCAGCAAAATACGTATCTATAAATAGCACAATAGAATCTTTTGAATTCAGTGAAATTGAGGAGTCCTTCAGTATGGAACGATGTTCTACAGATCCTCTCTTGGAGACTAAAGAAACTTCCAGGGGTCAAACTACCGAAATGTCCTTCCCTGACACTAATGAATTGCTTCCTTTCATTAAACCACCACCCGCAAGAGGCTTGGGACTCTGTGTACAGAATGAACAGAAAAAAATTTTTCGAAGAGAAGGTAATCAAGATAACTTAGGAAGCCAGAATTGTGTCCGTTCTTGCACTAGTGAGGTAAGTAAGGATGAATACTATAAACACTGGCATTATTATTTTTATTTTTTATTGTGATTTGGGTGAAAGTTTACAGAACAAATTCACTTTCCATACAGCAGCTCACACATCCTTTGTCTCATGATATTGACTAGCTTCCCATAATGCCAGAGCTCCCCTCCCACTTCCTCTCCATAGTTAACCTCTTCCCTGTGTCCTTCCTTCCCATTCATTCCTGCCCTCTGAGTTATCTCCCTGTGCATCCACAGCCCTTCTAGTCTCCCATGATTGATTTCTCCAAGGAGTGTATCTACCTAATGTAAATATTCAGCTCATATGCCTGTCTTTTGTTTGGCTGGAAGCCACAGGTATGGGTTCAGTTCCAGACCTGAAGGGCAGCTAGGGGCCATAGTCTCAGTGGTTCCATCAGGCTCTATGAGACCAGCAAACCTGGTTGCCTTTTTTTTTTTTTTTAAATGATTTTGAGTTTTGTTCCACATTGTTGTCCCACTCTATCCAGGATCTCCTACATAGATTCCCTTCCAAGTGGTTGACAGTGGTAGCCGGGCACCATCTAGTTCTGCTGGTCTCATAGACGTGTAGGCTGGGGATTGCATGGTGTAGCAGTTGCTTGGACTAATTGTTTCTATGAATTTTTGGTTTTCTTCATTCTTTCTTGCTCTGGACATGGAGAGGCCCATTGTTGCATCTAGATTGGTGCTTGCAAGCTTTTCAGATCCCAGTTCCTACTCACCAAAGTAGGATGTGGAACAGTGTTTTGTGTAACATGTTTTGCCACTTTAGCTTGATGTCCCCTGTGACTGTGGTCCCGAGCCCACAGGTCCAGCTCCTCACTCCCTCTGGGTAGCTGGCTGTGGCCAGCAGTGACCACAACCTTGCTCCTTGTCAGCTGTACTATATACCTGGGAATTCTTACAGAGTATACCAATACACTTACAGAAGCATTGTCTACCAACCCTATACATAGTCTTCGGAACACCCCCCTGCATGGACATGCCTAATAGTTCAGCTTCTCCACCCATCTATCCACCCGTAAACCCATGTTTGCCTTCACTGACAACGCGGTACTCTATGTACAAAAGGGTTCGTCTTTGTTGTCTGTAGCTCCCAAGCACCTCTCTATGTCTTCCTCTTCCTCAATGCCACCATGTTGATCACTCACATTTGGTACATTGCCCTTCTCTTCACCCAAACCTTATCTCTCTACCTATCTAACAGTGTTCCCTCCTCTCCTCTCACACTCCTGGTAACCGACAAAGAAAATTTCCTTCCATATAGAAACCTTTCCTTGACTTTTTACAATAATGGATTAATATAATACTTGTCCTTCTGTGATTGAGTTATTTCACGCAGCATAATGTCCTCGAAGTTTATCCATATTATGTGGTGTTTTGCAGATTCTACGTTATTCTTCAGGATTGCGTAGTATTCCATTGTGTGTATGTACCATAGTTTGGTTACCCATTCTTCTGTTGATGGGCACCTAGGTTGTTTCCATCTTTTGGCTGTTGTAAATAGTTCTGCAATGAACATGGGTGTGCATATATCTGTTCTTGTCCTGGCTTTCACTTCTTTAGGATATATACCTAGTAAGGAACGGCTAGGTGAAATGGTTTTCTACTTCCAACTTTTTAAGGAACCACCATGCTGCTTTCCACAGTGGTTGTATCATTGTACAGTCCCACCAGCAGTGTATGAGATTCCCAATCTCCGCATCCTCGCCAGCATTTGTTATTTTCTGTCTTGTTGAACATTGCTACTGGTGCTGGAGCAAGATGGTACCTCGTTTTGATTCACATCTCTCTAATGGCTAATGATGTGAGCATTTCTTCATGTGTTTGTTGGCCACCTGAATATCTTCTTTGGAGAAGTGTCTATTCATGCCTTCTGCCCATTTTTTAATTGGATTATTTGTCTTTTTGTTGTTGATGTTTGGAGTTTTCTATAACAAGTCACTTGTCAGATATGTCATTGCCGAATATTTTTTCCCAAATCTATAGGTTCTCTTTTGACTCTTTTGGAGAAGTCTTTGGAAGCACATAAATTTAATTTTTAGGAAGTCCCATTCATCTAGTTTATCTTCTGTTTCTGTACATTGGGTTATGCTTGATAGCCTATTTATGCCATTTATTGTTGTTGTTGTTGTTATGTGCCGTCGAGTCAGAACTGACTCATAGTGACCCCTCCTTGGCTTTCTGAGGCAGTATCACTACGGAAGTAGATTGCCCCATCTTCCTTCCGAGGGGTGGCTGGTGGGTTTGAACCACCAGCCTTCTGGTTAGCATTTACATGCCTTAGCCACTATGCTACCAGAGCTCCCATGCCATATATTAGGGCCCTTAAATTTGTCCCTAGTTTTTCCTTGAGGAACTTTATAGTTTTAGGTTTCACATTCAAGTCTTTGATCCGTCTGGAGTTCGTTTTTGTGTATGGTGTGAGGTACAGATCTTGTTTCATTTTTCTGCAAATGGATATCCAGTTTTGCCAGCACCATTTATTAAACAGACATTCTCTTCCCCATTTAATGGATTTCGGCCCTTTGTCAAAGATCAGCTCACCATCGGTCAATGGATCTATTTCTGGGTTCTCAATTCTGTTCCATTGGTCTGTGTGTCTTTCATTGTACCAATACCAGACAGTTTGACTACTGTGGCTGTATAGTAGGTTTTGAGATCCAGCAGTGTGAGACCTCCTACTTTGGTCTTCTTCTTCCATAGTGCTTTGTTTATCCGAGGTCTCTTTCCTTTCCATATACAGTTAGTGATTGGTTTTTCCATATCCCTAAAGAATGCTGATGGAATCTGGATTGGGATCCAGAATATATAGATTGCTTTGGGTAAAATTGATATTTTCACAACGTTCAGTCTTCCTGTCCACTAGCATGGTATGTTCTTTCATTTATGTAGATTTCTTACAGTTTCTTGAAGTAGTCTTTTATAGTTTTGTTTGTCCAGGTCTTTTTGTCCCTGGTAAAATTTATTCCCAAGTATTTAATTTTTTTGTAGCTATTGTAAATTGTAATGATTTTCTTATTTATTTGTCATCAGTCTCTTTGCTGGTGTAGAGGAATCCAACTGAGTTTTGGATGTTGATCTTGTATCCTGCCACAATACTAAATCTGTCAATTAGTTTCCGTAGATTTTTTGACTGTGTCTCTTGGGTTTTCTAAGTATAGGATCATATCATCAGCAAATAGGGATAGTTTAACTTCTTCCTTACCAATTTGGATGCCTCTGATTTCCCTTTCTTGCCTTAATGAGCTGGCTAGGACTTTCCATACAGTGTTGAATAGAAGTGGTGAAAGAGGGCATCTTTCTGTGGCTCCTGTTCGTAAGGGGAGTGGTTTAATTTGCTCTCCATTGAGAATAATGTTGGCTGTTGGTTTTGCATATAGGTCCTTATTATGTTGAGAAATGTCCCTTCTATTCTTATTTTACTGAGAGTTTTGATCAGGAATGGATGTTGGGTTTTATCCAATGCTTTTTCTGCATCGATTGTTATGATCCTGTGTTTTGTTTTTTTTTTTTCCTTTGTTTTATTTATGTAGTAGATGACGTTGATTCTTTTTCTAAAGTTGAACCATCCTTGCATACCTGATATGAACCCCCCTTGGTCATAATGAATTATTTTTTGGTATGTTATTAGAATCTACTGTCTAGGATTTTGTTGATGATTTTTGCATCTATATTTATAAGGGCTATTGGTCTGTAATTTTCCTTTTGAGTGATGTCTTTGCCTGTTTTTATCAAGGTTATTATAGGTGCTCATAAAATGAATTTGGAAGGATTCCCTCCTTTTGTATGTTTTGGAATAGTTAGAGTGGGATTGGTGTCAGTTCTTCCCTGAATGTTTGGTAGAATTCTCCAGTGAAACCATCTGGGCCAGAATTTTTTTTGTTGTTGGAATTTTTTTATGACTTGTTCAATTTCTTCTTTTGTGATAGACCTGTTCAACTTTTCCACATCAGTCTATGTTCGTTTAGCTAAGTGGTAAGTGGTTTCTAGAAATCTGTCCTTTCTTCCAGATTTTCAAATTTGTTGGGATTACTGTTCTTCATAGTATCCTGATACTATCCTTTTCATTTCAGTTGGTTCTGTTTTGATGTCTCCCATTTTGTTTCTTATTCCTATTATTTATATTCTCTCCCTCTTCCTTTGTTAAATTTGCCAGTGGTTTGTCAATTTTATTAATCTTTTCAAAAAAGATTTTTTCTGTTGTCTTTCTGTTTTGTTTTGTTATTTCTGCTTGAATCTTTATTATTTTCTTCTGGTGATTGTAGGCTTTTCTTGCTGTTCTTTTTCTAATTGTTGGAAATGTTGGTTTTAAGTGTTGATTTTGACTCTCTCTTCTTTTTTGATGTGTGCATTTATTGCTAGAAATTGGCCTCTGATCACTGCTTTTGCTGGGTCCCAAAGGTTTTGATACATTGTGTTTTCATTCTTGTTTGATTCAAGGAATTTTTGAATTTCATTTTTTATTTCTTCTCTTACCCAATCTGTCTTAAGGAGGGTGTTGTTCAGTTTCCATATATTTGCTCTTTTTCCATTGATTTTCCTGTTATTGATTTCTAATTTGATAGCATTTGATCTGAGAAAATGCTTTTCAGTATTTCAGTGTTTTTAAATTTATTAAGGCTTACTTTATGGCCTAACATATGGTCTGTCATGGAGAATGGTCTGTCTTGGAGAATGTTCTGTGTGTCCTGGAAAAGAATGTATATTGTGCTGTTGTTGGGTGCATTGCTCTGTAGATGTCTGTAAGGTCAAGTTGGTGGATTGTATTGGTTAGCTTCTGTGTCTTTGTTGAGTTCCTTTCCAGTTGTACTATCTCTCATTAAAAGTGGTATATTAAAGTCTTCCACTCTGACTGACTGTGGAGTCATCTATTTGCTTTTTGAACTCTTTTAAAGTCTGATTTATGTATTTTGGGGCTCTTTCATTGGGTTCATAGATAACTTACTATGGTTATATCTTTTTGTTCAGTTGATCCTTTAATCATTA